TAGGCTTGTTGTTGAGATCCATTCTCGTACCTATAAGCAATTCAAAAACAAAATTAGTGACTCGGAAGGAAAAGAAGACAAATCACACAAAAACCTAGATATATAGCTAAATCCGCTTAACTCCCCGGTAACGGCGCCACAAATTGATGTCGCCCAAACTCACACCACAAATATAGGTAGTGAGGCGGTCGAAGTAATAATAAAACCCAACACAAGTCGGGGTCGAATCCTCAGGGAGTTAGAATTGGGATTAGGTATATATTTAGTGTAATTGTACAATATGCCTTAGATTACACTTCCACATTCTTGTTTGTTGTTTCTACTTCTACTTTAAACTATTGATTGCAATTATAAAACTAGGAGACAATATTTTTGGTTTTGGCTGTTTTCCAAATGATAAAAGATCTAGGGTCGTGACTTCCACCTAGGTGGTTACGTAATGGGTTGAAAACTCTAGGACAAGCCTGATTAGTCGGGGTTGTAATATAGCAATCACACGCAATTATCCACTCTATACCTCTCGGTAGTTTGAATGGTTTTGCCCAATTTGGTTTTCTCACGTCCAAATGGGTATTGCACAAAATAAGTGATAAATGCTCAAGTCGGGTCTTACTATCTCTAGATTCAACCCTTTAATTGGGGCTATCAATTTCTTGAGTTCACCCCAATTTCTTGTTAGCCAAGTTTTCCTAGACTTAGTCTCTCTTTCTCAAGTAGAGACTAAGTCAATTAGGCATGAATCAATGTTTGCAACTATTAATTCTTGAATTCAAGCAAGAACTAGGCTAAATATCACTAACCCAATCACAAAAAGTCCTAAATCAAACACCCATTAAGTACCCATACTAGGGTTGGGCCACAACCCTAGCTAGAAATTTAGCTACTCATGAAAAATGAAGAAATACAAGAAGAAATTAAGATAGAATGCGTAATAATTGATTAGGAAAAGAAAATCTAATGTTTAGAAGCTAATTTAGTACAATATTACTCAAAACAGTAAAGATAAATGGCGTAGGTGCTCTCCCAAAATAAAACTTATCCTAAAAATGATAAAAAGTACTATTTATACTAAGCTGAAAATATTTGACAAAAATGCCCCTGCGAAGGTTGTGCGGCCGGATAATTTTTTTGTGCGGTCCATACAATGAGCTTCTGCGACCGCACAATTATAGTACGGTCCGCATTCTAGGAACTTGGGCTTGGCACTTCGGGATTTCTGCGGATGGCATAAAAATGAGTGCGGCCGCGCATCTGATTGTGCGGCCGCACACAAAAATAGTGCGGTCTGTATTCCAACTTGACTCTGAAGTCCCATCTCTCTGATCTTTATCTGCTGCGGACCGTATAATATTGAGTGCGACCACACTTGACATTCTGCGGCCGCACAATTATGATGCGGTTCGCACTCCTTCAGCTTGCCCAAAACCAGCTCTTTGAATCTCCTCTTCTCCGGCCGCACAATTTTTGTGCGGTCCGCATACTCTGAAGAAGAACTGACATGGCTCTTCTTTTGTTTTGCGGCCGCACACAGTATTGTGTAGTCTGCACTGTGGGCCTTTTACCTTGTTTTGGTCCTTGTCCACTTTTGAGTCCTTTATGAGTTGATTTTGACTCCTTTGGCTCGTTTCCCAATATTCCTGTACAAAAGTACATTTCATTAGTTTTCGGTAATATGTTTAAGTATTTTTGAGCTAAAACACAAGTAAAAGAGAGCAAATAAGCGGTCAAAATTCCTACTTATCAGTCTCTACCAAAAGTACCCCTGCCTCCAGATGAGGCATAATTGAAACCACCGGTATGACGAGGCCTCTTATTCGACCCCTTCCCCCTCTCCTGAGAAAGAACCATCTCGATCCGCCTAGCAATATTTGCAACCATCTGAAAGGATATATCACTTCCGAACTCCTTGGCCATCTTTAGCCTGATAGTGCAAGTTAGTCTATCAATAAATCTCCTCACTCTTTCCTCTCACTAGGAAGAAAGACAAGGGCATGACGAGCTAGATCCACAAAACGGGTCTAGTACTGAGTAACAGTCATACTGCCCTGCTAGAAAAGCTCAAACTGCATGCGGTAATCCTCCCTCAGTGTGACATGGAGGAACTTCTCTAGAAATAGCTGAGAGAACTGATCCCAAGTAAGTGCAGGCGACCCAGCTGGTCTGGTCAACATATAGTCTCTCCACCACCTCTTGGCGGAACCCGTCATCTGAAACACAGCAAAATCGACCCCACTGGTCTTAACTATACCCATGTTCCGCAGCACCTCATGCCATCGGTCAAGATAATCCTGTGGGTCCTAAGAAGGTGCAATACTGAAGTGAATTGGAAAGAGCTTGGTGACCTTGACCAATCTCAATAAAGCCTCAGAAGACATGGAAGGCTTATCACCAGCCTGTGCCGCAATAACCGATAGAACTACCCCAACTGGCAGGACTGCTGGAGTCTGATACTGGGGAGCCATCTGCTCCGGAGTGTGAGTAGTGGGAGTAGGTGCTCCTCCCCCAGCCTGAGAGACGGCCGGTGCCACCTGAAAGGTTCCAGTCTGGGCCACACTCTCCATAAGGCTCACCAAATGGACTAGACCATCCTGAAGAACTGGAGTGGCGATGAACCCCTCCGGGACCTGAGCTGGTCCAACATGTACAGTCTGAGCTGGAACCTCCTCTTCAAAATCTACCTGAGGCTCCACTGCTGGTGCTGCTGCTCGAGCTCTGGGATGAGCTCTGCCTCAGCCTCTGGCCCGACCTCGCCCTCGACCTCTGCCCCTAGTAGGAGCTGCCACTGGGGGCTCCGGCTACTGTCCAGTTGAAGATACAGTACTTGTTCTCGCCATGTGCGAGAGAACAAGAATAGAAGAGTTCAATCATCAATGATAGAATAAAATCGCACGACAGAGAAGAATAAAAGTGAAATTGTTCTTAAACTCCATAGCCTCTGGAAGATAAGTACAGACGTCTCCGTATCGATCCTCCAAACGTTACAAAGCATGCTCGTGACTCGTGAGACCTAGGCAACCTAGTGCTCTGATACAAACTTGTCACGACCCGGAAATCCCACCCTCGGGACCATGATGGCACCTAATATATCACTTGCTAGGCGATCTATTGACAGGATTTTTAACAGTTTGCAAATGTGAACATTGACCTCGCAAATGCGAGATCAGAGGCTGTACCAGAACCAGATTCTCACCAGCTATTTTCTCAAGTCCAAACCACTCCGAAGCCTATCCTAAACTCACCAAGCCCTCGGGGCTCCAAACCAAACATGCACACAATTCCAAAAATAATATACAAACTCGCTCGCGCGATCAAAAATACCAAAATAACACATAGAACTATGAATCAGACACCAAATCGAATGAAACTTTCAATAAAGCTTAATAACTTTTATTTTAACAACCAGACGTCCAAATCACGACAAATCAACTCCGTTTTGCACCAAATTTTGCAGAAAAGTCATAAATACAATAATAAACCTATACCAAGTTCCGAAACCAAAATCAGGACCCGATAGCAATAAAGTCAATCTTCGGTCAAATTCATACTCTTTAAACCTTTAAACTTTAAATTTTTAACAAATTGCGATAACTCGAGCTAGGGACCCCCGAATTCGATTCCGAGCATATGCCCAAGTCCTAAATCACGATACGGACCCGTCGGGACCGTCAAAACACGGATCCAGGTCTGTTTGCTCAAAATGCTGACCCAAGTCAACTCAAATAAATTTTAAGGCACACATTCATATTTTAATCAATTTTTCACATAAAAGCTCTCCGGAAGAAGGCACAGATTGTGCACGCAAATCGAGAAAGGCTAAAATGAGTTTTTTGATGTTTTGAAATACTGAATTAAGGGTTAAAGCTCTAGATCACCTATTGGGTAATCACATTCTCCACCTCTAAAACAAACGGTCGTCCTCGAACGGATATAGAAAAGTACTTGGACTGGTGAATAAAAGGATGTTGCAGTAGCTGTTCGGTTGTCCATCTTCTTCGAGGGTCCTTTATGAAACACTTGTATAGAAAATCTCTAGCAATCTCAGAAACATTACTCGGAATTATAGGGTCTTCATTCATAATCTGCCATTGCAAATCTTTAGTGTCGTGACAAAGCCAAACACGACTTCCAGTCATCATCTTTGCCACAGTGCATCCTAGTGACTAGGGGTGTATAAGGGTCGGGTTGGTTCGGATTTTCTAATTACCAAACCAAATCAATTGTATCGGGTTATTAAATCTAATTACCAAACCAAACCAATAAAAGTTAAGTTTTTTTAATTTCGGTTTTTCTAGGATTTTTCGTGCTTTCGGATTTTTTTGTTTTTTTTCATAGCACAAAACGTAAAATTTGTGCTCCAAATATTTCTTTAATCCTAGTAAGACATAACTATATAAGGTGTTTTTCAATAAAATAACATAAATACGAGATGAGTCATGGCATTGCACTAAAATATTCAACAATAAAGATAATCAAATCGCATAAAATAAATATTATTAATATGCCATAATGAAAACAAATATAATTTAAAATTATGACTAATAAATACTATTATTTACATGACTAACCACTAAAAGAAAAATAAGTTATACATTTTAGCTAAACCATGGAAAAACTAAAAAATATATATCCAACACTATTTTTATTCATAGTACAATTGAATTGAATGTCTTTATTAGCATTAGTATTGATTTGATTTTGGTTTAGGATTTATTTGAGTTAATAACATTTATGAACTATAAAACTTATTGGAGCATCCAAAAATTATAAGCACAAGTTTGAAATAATACGTTAAAAGATAAAACTATGAAAAAGCTTAAGAAATATTTATAAACTACACTACCATAAATATTTTTATATATTAAATATATTTAAAACTTCTATACATATAATGTCGGGTTGGTTTGGTTTCGGTTGACTTTTTTTAGTTAAAACCAAACCAAATAAAATATGTCTCGGTTTGACTCGGATTATCGGGTTGGTGCGGTTTGTCGGTTTTATTTTTACACCCCTATTGGTGACCATATATCATAAGCTTTCGCATGGAAACCACACGTCAAAGACTCTGGGGGTGCATACAGTAGGGTTCCTCGATTGCTCAACGGAGCTCCAGTCATATATGCCATTCTATCACCAACTTTTAATGACAATCCAAAGTCAACCAACTTAAACTTGTGCATGTCATGTTCATTAGCATTGAAAACCAAAATATTAGCAGGTTTAATATCACAATGAACCCACCCTTTTTTATGAACATTGTATACGGTCGAAACTGATTTAGGCCTTTGTATGACTGGTCGAGATGGGAACATAATGGACCGAAGAGTATCGTAGAGCATCATCATAATTTCGGGATAAGATCCAAAGTCAGGCCACCGAGTTTCGAGTTTCAGGGACCGATCAATACCGAGCTCGAAGTCATTATCGAGCTCGAATCCAAATCGAACCATGATGCGAAGCCTCTTCCTTCACCGGATTTGGAACAAATGCCGAAGTCTCATTCTCGCCTGACGGGGGCCTCAAAACCGCATCTTTTCCCAGGCCTACACACAAGAAAATTGATTAAGTATATGGAAAACACTTCGTTCGAACTATCAAAGAAACGAGAAAAAGGCTTACCATTATTTTTGGACTCCCATCGGCCCTTTGACAAATCACGCCATGAGCGCTCAGCATATGTAGAGGTCGAAGCTAGGTCCCGTACCCAGTTTTTGAGGTCAGGAACTGCACCGGGCATGCAAGGAACAACTGCATCACAAAAAGGGATATTAGTGAGAAAGAAACGAAGGTGAAAATAATAGAAGATAATAGCAGAGTTACACTTACGCTTCATGTTCCACTCCTCGGGAAATGGCATCTTCTCGGCCGGTATTAGGTCTGAAGTCTTCACTCGAACGAACTTACCCATCCAGCCTCGATCCTTATCCTCGTTTATACTCGAGAACAGAACCTTGGTGGCCCGGCGCTGAAGTTTTATTAACCCGCCTCGAAAGAGGCGGGGGCTGTACAATCGAATGAGGTGGTAAAGGGTGAAAGGCATCCCCTCAATTTTTTTCACAAAGAAACAGATCAAAATAACGATCCGCTAAGAAGAATAATGAATTTGGCCTAGGGTTATTTTGTATTGACGGCAAAAATCAATGATAACAAGGTCGAGAGGACCTAACGTGAAAGGGTAAGTATACACACCTAAAAACCCTTTCACATGAGTAGTAATATCCTCTTCGGGAGACATGATTACCACTTCTTTGTTCTCCCAGTTACAATCTTTCCTTATCTATTCGAGATGCCCCTCGATTATAGAACACATATACCTCGATACTGGCTCGC